AAAAAAAAAAAAAAATTCGGTGTCTCAGTCCCATGAGGCGCTGGACGCCATGTGGCCACTGGCCTTTCCCAGACCAGCACAGACAGACCATCTCCAACGACTGTGAGTCCCTACGGACAGACGGTGCCCAGGGCCGTCCACGCCTCCTCCCAGCTCTTCTCACATCCTGAGCTCCCCTGCGGCACCCCCCAAAGGGTTGGGGGCTCCCCAGTTGGGTGAGAATGTCTCTCTCCCCTGTCTTCCGCGGTGATGGAAGAAAGGGCGGGGTCTCAAACTGCAGGGGGCCCAGAGGCCAGGCTGATAATGTAACAGAACTAGCCATTGATACAAGGGCAGCTCTGATCTTTTAAAATTTTGTATCAAGGTAAAATCCACCATTTTAACCATTTTCAAGTGTGCGATTCAGTGGCGTTTAGCACACGCCCTGTGTTGTGCTACTGTCTCCTCAGTCTAGTTCCAGAACATTCCATCAGCTCAGGAGGGGACCCTGTCCCCACAGGCTGTCCTCCCTGTCCCCTCTTCCCTAAGCCCCCAGCAACCACGAATCTCTGTTAGCTCTCCTGGATATTTCATATAAATGGAACCTACAACGCATGATTATTGAATCCGGCTTCTCTCCTTAGCATAACGTTTTTAAGGTTCATTCACGAGGAAGCAGGAATCGGCACTTCATTTCCTTTTTATGGCTGAGTAATATTCCAGCGTGTGGATGGACCACGTTTGTGCACCCATTCATCAGTCCATGGGCACTGAGGATGTTCCCACCTTTGGGCCACTGTGAACAATGCTGCAGTGAATGCTTGTGTACGAGTGTTGGTTTTCAGTCCTTTTGGGTGTGTTTACCTAGGAGTGGAAGTGGGGGTCATGTGGTAATTCTGTGTTTCACTTTTTGGAGAATTGTCAGACTGTTTTCCACAGTGGCTGCACCATTTTACATTCCTAGCGATGGAAGAGTTCTGATTTCTCCATATTCTTGCCAACACTTACTGTTTTCCTTAAAAAAAACCCCAAAACTATAGCCATCCTAGTGGATGTGAAGCAGTATTTCACTATGTTTTTTTTAATATTTATTTTATTTATTTATTATTTTTGGCTGCGTTGGGTCTTAGTTGCGGCACGCGGGATCTTCGTTGCGTGCAGGCTTCTTTCTAGTTGTGGCGTGTGGGCTCCAGAGTGCGTGGGCTCTGTAGTTTGCAGCACGTGTGCCCTGTAGTTGAGGCGCAGGGGCTTAGTGGCTGCAGCGCACAGGCTTAGTTGCCCCGCGGCATGTGGGATCTTAGTTCCCCGACCAGGGATTGAACCCGCGTCCCCTGTATTGGAAGGCGGATTCTTAACCTCTGGACCACCAGGGAAGTCCCTCACTATGGTTTTGGTTTGCATTTCCTTAATGACGTTACACGTTTTCACGTGCTTGCTGGCCATTTCTATATTTTTGGAGAAGTAGCCATTCGGATCCTTTGCCCATTTCTAAATTGGGTTATGTGCCTTTTTGTTGTTGAGTTCTAGGAGTTCTTTTTGTATTCTGATATTAGACCTTTGCAAATATTTTTCCTGCTCTGGATTGTTTTGGCTCTTTAGGGTCCCTTGCAATTCCATACAAATTTTAGGATCAGCTTTTCCACTTCTAAAAAAAGGCCATTGGGGTCTTCCCTGGTGGCGCAGTGGTTGAGAGTCCGCCTGCCGATGCAGGGGACGCGGGTTCGTGCCCCGGTCCGGGAAGATCCCACATGCCGCGGAGCGGCTGGGCCCGTGAGCCATGGCC